TGGCCATTTAACAATGCATAGATTCATCAATTAAAATCAATTCTTACATGCAGGATACATGCATTGAGTTGCGTGTCTGCGCGAGGTAACATTTATGTTTGTATGACTTACCCAAGCAATAAAGGATGATATGCAAAAGTTATATGGCAGGATATGGAGTGGACAAAATAATACAAGTGAGACAAAAATTATACAAATAAGATTAGATCCTTGAATCGAATTGTGATCCCAAATTGTGCCATTTGGAGGGGGTGAGTTGAAACATGTCTCTAAATACAACTATCACATTGCATGCTCGTGGCTTATTTACTTATGCAAGGATGCTTTGAGATGTCCTGGCATTTAAGCACTCAAAAATACGAATCCTTATTCATCTGTTCATTCGGATGTAGAATAATAAATAATGTGCTGGCCTTTATTAAGCCACTGCTGGATAAAGGCTTTCCCACGTTGTGTCGTTCATGGGGGTTGTTTGACCATACTTCACCACGCTGGTCAGTGCTGGTTAGTGAAGGGGGCATCAAGGGACCCGTTGAGATGTCACGTGAGCCATGGCTGGGAATCAAACTCAGGTTGCCAGGTTCATGGCGCAATGCACCACTGCGCCATCATTGAGAGTGTTTAACTGCTGCTACTGTATGCAGTTACACTTTGGTTGAGTCAATACGGTCAATTCACATATTTGAAACTGAGACCCTAAAAGTATGCACACGCTCACAAACAACACTTTCTTTTTCATTATAGCCTCTCCCATTAATGCAGTTACTACAGCGGTGATCCAAATGAGTAACTCACACCCACAATAGGAATGTGGAATTTCCGCCAATGCCTTATAACAGCAAACGAACGCTGTCGTGTACTCATTTGAGATATTAAGCACTTCACTTTGTTTTTACTGTATTTTTATTATTATCCTAATCTTGGGCAGTTGCATCGTGTGGCTGGCATGGGCCCTGGTGTAAATAATTAAATGGGGGCCCCTGTCCAATTTCCCCCCGCTCTTTGTAGTTCAGGGTATGAGCCCCCTTGGCTTGTGTGCCCTGGTGCAGTGGCACCGCCTGCACACTTGCTAGCTACCCCACTGACCATGGGGAAGGAGCAGAGGTGTAGTGGTTTGCGTCCTGCGCTATAAACCCAACGGAATAAGTTTGATTCCGGGTCATGGCCAACATCGGTGGCGAAGTGATATTTGAGCTTCCCCTTTCACTAACTACTGGACATCTGCGAAAATGAGCTTTATAGCTCATCGGATTCCTCCAGTATAAATATTCTGGTTGTGAACCCGCACTGAGCAGCATGATGAAGTATGGTCAAACAACCGCCGTGACCAACACGGCATGTGGGAACCTTCATCCAGGAGTGAATTGACAACGGACTGTTAATTATTGTGACTATTTTGACCCATGTTTCTTTCGATTTAAAATAAGCCTTAAATGTTTAGTTGGAAAAAAAAGGATTCAGTGGCTTGCTCTTAAATCTTCGTTGAACTTATGAACACGTATTTAACATTAGGAAGTCATATGAACATAAATAGTGCAATATATATTGTGACATCCGGTAATGAAACCCAGGGGCTCCTAGTTACCGGATGAATGTGTTCCATAAATACGAATAAAATCAGGGCTTGCATTTCACTCTCTTGATGGACTATACAACTGCTCTGTCTTATTCCTAGAGATGTTAATCACGTGATTTTTTTAAAATATATACAGTGTATTTATATATGTGTGTGTGTAAAGGGCTGGTCTCTGACGATTCTTTGACATATGGATTGAAGTTTGCTTATCTTGACACGCGGCCAGTTTACCAGTCTTGGCCTTTGAACGAATGCAATTACCACTTAAGCCGGCTGCGTGAGAGTTATGCAAGCGGAATTATGAAATAAAATAAATTCCAACCCCGTTTCCTAAAAGGCTACCCCCGCTGGTACGCGTTAAAGAAACTTTCAAACGCCGCTCCGGACTGTGGTTTGCTTGATTCAGAAATAAACGGCCCGGTTGTGTGGAGTCGGCGTTCGGCATAACCCGCCGCGTGCAGGCGGGGAATTAGATGCCTCGCCCATTTTTGCGTTTCGAACCCCTTGATAGCAGACGCTCTGCCGTGCGAGACTTTCCGTCTTAATTGGGGCCCCCTTTATTTTTCTACTTGTACGCAACAAAATAAACAAGTGGAAACGCGGTCGCAAATCCCTTCACTGTTGTTACTCGTTTCTATCAAAGGTAGTGTCGGTCAATCAAATGTCGCGAGCCGAACAGTCCCCGTGTCTGTGTATGCGTCGCGATTGACAGTCGCGAGAAAACAGCTGTGCAGGTTCCCTCTGCAGCCTAAAACAAATGGAAAAGTGTTTTTACTGCACAGTTGCTCTGTTTCAGAATACCGTATTCAAATTCAACGGCAATTTTGACTCAGTTCATGGCGTTTTAGGTTATCTCTTTGGAAGGTTACAATGTAGGTATTTATCACTACAAGTTTAGCATTGTTTAGCATGGTTATTTGCTCCATTTGTTTCCTGTACATCATTCGTCCCGTAATTTTTTTTCCCTAAAATGTTCCCCTTCAGCTCACCTAAACCTATCTCAAAATCACCCAGAACACACCCGATATTGTCAGATCTCAGAAGCTAAGCAGGTGGAAGCCTGGAAATTGCTTGGAACAGGCGACCAGCAATCAGAACATAGGTGTTATAGGCTGTTGCGGTGCTATCTTTTCAGAGGAGATCAGTCCAGCAAAAGCCATGAGCGTACAGTACTATTGTCCAAATATTCCACGCTGCCCACCTTCACCAGCCCGCGCTGACCAGCGTGGTGAAGTATGATTAAATAACCCCCACGAACCGCTATAGTGTGGGAGAGCCTCTCATCCAGCAGTGGATTGACAAAGGGGCTCTTCATGTACATGCCACCTAATATACCTTCGCGACAAATTACACCGGTTAAAGTTCATGAATGCTGGAGGTTCACTGCACTCCCGAGTCGTTAAAAAAATTGTGAACATTTATGGGAAGGCCAGAGATACAATCTTCCGATGTCTCACTCATGCAGTGAATACAGAGAACATTCCCTGGTGGCTGGCGGGGGGTTGGAGGATGGATATATCAGCTGTGAACCACGCAGACAACCAAACAAAAAAAAACCCGCTTGCCCCTGGGATATGTCTGGCAAAGTCTCCCATTAATCACTCTGGGACTGTCACGGGGCTTTGCTGCTGACACTGCTGAGGGGTGACACGTTGTCAGTTGAAATTGTGCACGGCATGTTCCATATATCCTTGAGGTTATTGTCGTGGTGGTGAAGAGTTGGTGTACTGGTTAGCGCACCCGACTATAAAAGCCGTGACCTGAATGTGATTCCCGGCCAGAGCGAGCGATATCCGAATCAGTTCTCTACAACACCATCACTAACCCACGCTCACCAGCATGGCGAAGTGTGGTCAAACAACCCCAATGACTGACACGGTTGGCTACGTACGGTGCAAAAGAAGTTCAACATACATACATACATAGGGCATGACAAGTTCCTCATCCAGCAGTGGATTGATGAGCTGTACGCATCGTTGTATTCGGTAAAGGAGCAGTCCTGCAAATCCTTGCTCACTCCTCTCATGGCAAACCGGCCTCCGCTCGAGGGGGCTCCGGAGAGAGCTCTCTCTGGAGAGTATTTTTGGCCTACTCATCCACACTGACCGGATATCTTGGGAGAGATGGGAGTACCCACGCTTTACCCCACCACGTGCCACCTCTGCCACCCGATTTACCAGCAGTGTGCCCATGTAGACTGATGGACAGAGACGGCGCCATCGGCGGCGGGGGATTAATTTCCCCATTGCTTCAACTGCCACGCCGCAGGGGATCGAACGCGCGACCTCTGGAGTTCAAGTCCAGTTGGTAACTGTCACACCGAGGCGTAACCCGAATGCCATTCTGTGTTCCTATCCGCGAAGTTATCCTCGCCCATGAGGTGCGCGCACGATCGGTTTTTATTCTTTGCCCGTTTGCGGTTCTGTGGCTTCTTGGGCAGGAAGCCTCTGAGTTGTGGTGAAATCGAAGGCTGTGAAATTTAATCGTGAAATTGGAGACAGACTTTATTTGCTCTGTGATTTATACTTCACGGCCAAACTGCAGCGTGCGGACAAAATGTGTTCATATTTACCAGACCGTCAAACAGTGACCTCTTCACAGTCGCTTGCGTTTGTATCTGTTTACAAATGTAGGTTGCTTGTTTAATAGCTGCTTAAAACAAACACATAGAACCTCAAATTATTTAGCAATTTTTGGTAGCAGTTTAAAAAGTGTCCATTCGTTTGGCCAAAGTGGCTACGGTTTTATTCCATCCAGCCTCCAGCTATGCGCACAGAGAAGTAGTTTTAAAACTTTCCATTTGTCAAGCGCGTTCGGGGGTGGAACGATCAAATTACTCATTCGATTAAACGTATCTCCCTCGGCTCGCGATGCACGCATAGAGCCAAACGCACACATCGTGAACAGGAGCTACACGTGCCGGGAGCTTCTTCATGAACAACAGAGTCGACAACGACGCCGGGCACCGCATCGAGGAGTCGCGCAGCACGACTGCCAAGCCCAACGGAAATTGAATTGATCTCGTCCATGTGGCGAGATGTTAACTACCTCGCCTGGTATACAGGAGGTCGTGGGTTCGATCCCGACCCTGACGCTTGCTGTATATTTGGAGTCTGCACGTTCTCCCCGTGGTCGTGTGGATTTTTCTCCAGGCCCTCCGGTTTTTCCCTCCACATTTAGAATCAACGTGCGTTTAGAGGAACCGGATGCTCAAATGTCCACAAGATAAGCCACTTCGGTGAGCCATCATGTGTGATAGCCAGGCTGCTTCTAAATAAGAGCTACATAGCTCAGTGGGCCTTTCCTGGGAAAATAAAAAAAATTGTTTTAGTGTAATCGCTCATCGCCGTGTCACCTGCCCCTCTTTCCCAATCCCTCTCTCCTCCTCCTCCTCCTCCTCGCCGTCGTCGTCATCCCGTGGCAGATGCTGCCGAGCGAGAGGCTCTTCACGGAGGTACGCCTCAAGCCCGTGCTGAGGAAGGGGGCGAAGCGGGTGCCAGTCACCGAGGGCGTGGTGGAGGTGAAGCACGGTGGGCGGTGGAGCCGCGTGTGTGACGCCGGCTGGGCCGAGGAGGAGGCGCGCGTCGTGTGCGGCATGCTGGGCTTCCCGAGCCACCGCGTCTTCGACGCGCAGCCCTACCGGTGAGGCAATACTGGCGACGCAGGCGACGCGGGCGACGCGGGCGGTGCGGGCGGTGTGGGTGGCATGGATGGCGTGGGTGGTACGGGTGGCATGGATGGCGTGAGTGGCATGGGTGGGTGGGTGGGATAGGTGGTGTGGGTGGCGTGGGTGGCGTGGGTGGTACGGGTGGCATGGATGGCGTGAGTGGCATGGGTGGGTGGGATGGGTGGGGTGGGTGGCGTGGGTGGTACGGGTGGCATGGATGACGTGAGTGGCATGGGTGGGGTGGGTGGGATGGGTGGTGTGGGCTGTGCGGGCGACGACAGCGCAAGGGGAGAGCGGTGATACAAGCGAACGGTGTCCACCCGTGCCAGCGGCCGCCCTGGTTAATCCCGCGAGTGAATTGACCACAGCTTTACGCAGTCGGCTTCACAGTGGACGCCGCAACGTTATTCGCAGATGCTGTGTGTTGCGGCGTCACGGTCCAAATGTACAAAATTTTATAAACTGTTGTTTACTGCTTTGAGGAAAAACCAAAGAGCAACATCACCTTCTGCTGGCAAACGAATGCTCAGTTGCAGTCCGGTACTGCATACGCCTTGTGTTGCACAGGGACAGCTGCCGCTGGCGGTCCCCTTGGCTAAACCGCAGCAGGGCAGTGAAATGGTGAAGATGTGAGACACGTAAACGCTTGAGTCGATACCGGCATCCAGATCCTATGGACAGAATTACCGCGAAGCACGCGTCAGTGTTGCATTGTAGGCCATATCAAAAAAATACAAAATGCGAAAATTTAAAATATGCAATGCCCCACGCGGACGGCCCTTTGTCGCCTCAGCCGGGGGGGGGGGGGGGGTCAAAGACAGTCGGCCCAATCGGCAAACTCGGCGAGGCGTACGGTTCGCCCTGTGGAGTCCCGTGCCGCTCGGCCGTTCGGCGTTTACGACGCCGCTGACCCGAGCCCACGCCGGCCACCGCTCCTGGGACAAAGAGCGGTCCTGGCGAGGGCCGTGTGGGTGGTCGAGGTCACGGTCAATTGAATGTCGAGGTCGCGTAGCTCCACAGCGGTAAGGGACGCTGCAGCTTTGCCTTGCGTTTTGCGCAAGTGCAGGCATGGCCGTGTGTTTGTTCAAACAACTGCAATGGTCGAAACTTATCCCAGAGTTTGGCTGCTTGATCACACGCTGTTATGATTGAAGGACTAAAAAAATGTTTATTAAAAATTCAAACGGACTTCTGTCTGCTTATTTTATGCTGGAGATTCACGAGTCGAGTGCTGCTGTTAGGGCGCTTGACTCAGACTCGAAAGGGCATGAGGAGGGCATGAGTCGGTGGGTCAGGAGTGAACTCAGCCTGTCGTCTTTCCCGGAGTCGATAAACAGCAGCTTTCGTGCGGAAGGACTGAATGCTTGCATAGGAATGTAGAGTTTCTATCACTGGCCCAGGGATGTCACTCGAGGTGAGCACGAAGCCCGATGCTCGTTTGAGCACAGAAGTAGTCTGACGCGAGAGCACAGCTGGGATCGTTCTGGTAATAAAACTGAAAATCTAAATAAGTCTGACATTATATCTACGTCACCATCCCTAGCCACCGTTCTCAAAACTTGCGCCCACCCCTTATAACACACACACACACCCACACACAAAATATAAAGGTCCCCCGGATAAACATTAACAGACAAGTTAACGAGCACCTACTAAGGCCGGAACAGTAGCGGTGTGGCCACAACCAAGGCTGCCTTCACCTGACGTTCACGCTCTGCATCAGGTAATCACTTAAGGCTGAGTCTAACTAAGGGAATAATTCACCACTGATGATCAACCTGACCGTGAATTAAACCCAGCTCACCAGACGTTTGTAGCGTGGTGACCATGCTCATGTGTAAATCTTAGCGGGTTACCAACGGTCCTGTTTTTTTATGGAATTGGCCTCTTCTTGAGGCAGCTGTCCTGGGAAATCTATAAGTTTTCCATGGTACAGTTTTTGTCAGTTGTATAATTATCCACCACACATCTTAACGGATTGTCCTGCGACATATACAGCCCTAACATCAGTGGTTCTCCCCTCTTCTGGCATTGTGAGGTATCCTTCTTCACCTTGATACGTACGAGGTGGCAACCCCAGAGATATCTCAACTCACGAAATTTGCGCCGCCGGGAATCCCATCGCTTCTCGTCAGAACGTGGACGGAGAGAACGCCTGTGAAGGACGCCACGTGCGTGACCTTGCAGCGAGACAAAGCGGCCTTGTGCACGATCCCACGTGTGCCGTGTCTGGTGAAGCGTACGCTCAGGGAGCGGCGCCCGTCTTTGTCACATCTGCGTCTGACCAGGGTTTTCATTATTATTATTGGTACAGTCTGTTCTCCTATAACGGGGTAGTTGGGTTCCTGATGAACACCGGGTGATGTAAAAATCGCGTTATAATAATGCAGGGTCAAGGACAGTCCGCAATAACACGTGAGATGCGTACGCAGGCTGAACAAAGACCGTGGCGTATGGGGAAAATCTAAAAGCATCCAGCAGCATCCCGCCTTTTGTGATGATACTACGCCAAGGCAGTTGTACGACCGCTTATTCCTACTCGCGTGACATAGTTCTGTTCACTTAATCGCATTATATCAAATTCACATCCACGTTATAAAAATGTGTTCCCCAATACATTCATCGCTTTATATCCAATTCGTGTTATAACAACACGCGTTATGTGAGAACAGACCATACTGCTCTCCGTTTCGCTCCTAGGCGCCGCTCAGCGCGGGGGTTTCACGTCCAGACCTCGGTCGTCATCTTCAATGCCCCCTGCCGTTGTTGGCCAGACCCAGTTTGGACTTATTTTGGCATCGGCTGGGATTATGATTTTGGGGTGGGGTTCTCATAAAGGCGTGCAGTGGCAAGGGCACTTCGCCTGTGAACGGCGTCCGTTCGAAAATAATGCGATATCGTTTCAAGTGACGCAGTCATGGAAAGACACGTGTTAGCAATTGCGGAAAGATCTCAGAGGCGCCGTTAAGTAATGATAGGAGTCATAGCTTCAGAAAATTCCGATGGTGATTTTAAATTATTTTGAAACCGATGTAATAAAAAATATATTTATGAGTTTTATGCGCAGATGTTTGCAGACTACGGCCAGAAGATTATACTTAGTGTTCATTCATTACCCACCAAAAACGCATCACCTTAGTGATGTCTTTATTTAGTTGTAGATTAAAAATCGATGATGATCATGATAATAATGATGATGGTGGAATACAGCCTCAATGTGGCTTCCTACAACCTCCAGCTTGTGGAATGCAGTGGCAAAGCCAGTAGCCCGGTCATATAATCCGAGATGAAAATCAGACGTTTGAAGAATGTGCTCTTACAAGCATCCAAACAACTCACACGGGGCAGAATTCAATGGGGACCCTATGCGTGTGTAGCTTTTGAATGAGCTCCCAACACGCATATTTTTGCGCGTGCGCACATGTTGCCCAGAGCGCCTTAAACAGCGAGGAATCGCGGGGCGAGACGGGGGACAGGGCGACGACGCCGTTGTTTGCGGTGTGTCGGCTGTCGTGGCCCGACCGCTACCGAGCCACTCGGGAACGCGCGACAACAGTGCGTAGCGGCAGTAGCGGCGGCAGCGGCGGTGGGCCAGCTACGTGAACAGGGCCGGGGCATGATCCTGGAAGGGTTGGCTGGCGGTCGGCCTGTCTGTGTGGGTCTTGGCAGGTTGTGGCGTGAGAGGCACTGACCTATAAAATGTATTTGCCCCTGTTTTACATGACATAATGAGGGCACGGCATCATTACATACGATGAATGGACACTCATCAATGCTTTCATTCCATTGTGGGATTGTGGTTAGTGGACTCTGCTTCTTGCATGTCATGAAGGAGACCGTTTCCGAGGTGGTTTTGCAAATAAATGGGTGGAGTGGCGGCGCTCTGGTTAGTGCATTGCACAATGAACCCAGCGACCTGAGCTTCATTCCCAGCCTTGGCTAACATTAGTGGCGAGTGATATCTGAACCAACCCTGGGTCACCCCCCCCCCTTCACCAATGTGCACTGGCTAACATGGTAAAGTATGATCAAAACAACCCCCGTGACTTAGACGGCATGGGGAGACGTTCATCCAGCAGTGGATTGACCGAGGTTTATCAACTATTGATGATTCTATACCACATAGCATGTACAGCATTCGCAATTGCATGTACATACATGTTCATAGCATATAACATGAACGAGGACCTCATGCAAAAGTCAAACATTTGTTTTTTTTGGTGAGAGAGAAACGCAGGAGTCGAAAGCGCCGTTTGCAGATTTTCCCCTTCTGTCTGTGCCAGCGGTAATGACTGCCACTCTCCAGGGTGACCCGTGACGCCCTTCCTCGCCGCGGCCATTCATTCACTGTGCCCTGCGTGAGCCTCCCACACAATGCAGGGCTTTCCCAGCAACAGCCACATGGGAACAACCTAAAAAACAATTATCTCCCAGCTCGGTCAGAGTGGTCTCCTAAAGGTCATTTTTCTGCATCTCAACGGACACATTTGAGGACCCACGCAGCTCCCCGTTGTGGGCTGTGGCTTCCCATTTTTTCGGCTCATGGCGCTGGAACTCGTAAAAAAAAGAAAGCCACCCACCCCAGACAGGAATGTGACTCCAGACTTTTTACAAAAGAAAAAAAAAACTTGCTAGGATTTTTAACAAAAAACGGCGTAAAATGGGATTTGAAATTCCAATGGTATGAAATATTGTCTCCAACAAACCTTTAGTCAAACGACTGCTGAATGAAGGCCTCCCCACGTAGTGGGGGATTGTTTTGGCATACTTCTCCACGCTAGTCAATGCGAGTTTGTGAAAGGGAGCTCAGTACTCGCTTCGATATCACTCGCCTGTGTTGTTATTCATGGCCGGGAATCGATTTCGGGTGATCATGTTCATAGCACGTTGTGCTAACCACTGCGACACCGCTCCCCGAAATGTTGTCTTATTTGTACATTAATCATCAGTTTTCTTCAAGGGTGGTTCGAAGTCA